ATTCCAAGCTTTAACTTGTTGTTAAACAAATGTTTAAACAACTCTGTTCAAATATTTTATTAGTTTGTTTTCTGATATTCTCGCAAAATAACACAAGGGGTACCTGCGTTAGTTATCCACAGTTTTGAACTAATAGACTAGAGAGAAGGTAGATAGTCAACAGCACCCACCACCAACTCTTGTTTAACCGAATAGTGGGATTTAAACATCACCCTTATAATGGATCCACAAACCCAAAGTGGAAGGCGTGGTTTCTATCTTTTTTGACGATAATGAGAAGTGCACGACAATATTGCAGATATGTTAACCACTGGGCCATGGTTGGATCGGTGAAAAAATGTTTCATTAACTTAGGTTCTGTAAGACATAAGATGAAAATGCAATGTAAAAACCTAAAAAATCGATTAAAGTTAGTATTGTTTAAATTTGGCTGTTAACTGGAGCGCAAATAATATTAAAGTAGCTCTAGAATGTTCTAGACGACATCACTGAAATCTAGTAACTTTGACAAGTACTTAGAAGTGAGACATAAGATATAAATACGAGTGGGACAAGCAATTAATAAAATAGTAAATGAGACAAGTGGCATATTTTGATCTATATTAGTTATTATGTATATTCGCTCACACGATCGATTACCAGTGAAAATATAAAAGAAAGTAAATTGAAAAATACAATATAACAGCAACTTTTACAGTATGAAAGTTCTGATTTTATTAATTACTATGTTCTGACCTACAGTATCCAGTCAGGATAAGGTAAGAGTTACATTCAAAAAGGTAAAAACAAAATAATAAAAAATTCATAGCCAGCAATGCATCTTTATTCATGGACTCTGCCGGGTTGAAAGTCAGGTCAACTCTAGAAATCGTGGAGTCACTAGCGACCTCCAGCTCCTTAATAAACAGGAAATCTTCAGTTTATGTCCATTGTATCAGCCTTACATTATACAGCTCAAAAGATTTGAAGGTTTCAGCACACATTATTAATGAAGTCACCACTGGTTGGTTGAAGAACAAGATAGCCAGGAAGGTCATGAATTCAATCCCAAGTGGCAAAATTTCAGATTTAAATGTAAGGTCATATGAATTTCAATTGGTTAGAAGGTCACCCAAGTATGTAGGTTGTAAAGAGGATCATAAATGACTATTCTCTAAAAACTACATTTAGATATAAGAGTAATAAAATGTTTACCTTTGTCAAGTTACATTTTTCTTGGCTTCAAATATACTAATACCCTAATCAGCCACAGATGTATCCCTAACATTTGTGAACTTTTCAGTCCCCAAATTTCATTGGGTCTCCACCTATAACTGTGCTGCACCCTGTTACGATTCCGGAGACAACAGCCAACACAGATCACCTTTCAATTCAGAACAATTCCTTCCACTACCATCTTGATGTTGCAGAAACAGAGCCCGGGTCCACCGTGAAAGGATCATTTGATGTTAAGTGCAAAGCTACACAATGGGCTAACTATACTGTGCCCACTACAGGCCTGCATTTTTAATGAGCAGTGAAAATTTCATACATGTACACTATATTTGAAAAAATAGTATGTCAATTAAACTGAAATCTAATCTACAAACTTTATTGAGTCTATAAACAGTTCCTTGTCATTTATTTTAAGTTTGAAGGAATGACTCAAAATGGAATAGCTTAATTTTGAATCTGTTTTTCATTCTATTGTAAAACGTCACATAAAAATGTGGGATGCTGATTTAGAGCTCTGGCATAATGCATCATTCCTATAAAAAGTTTCTGGGAACTTATCATTATATTTGAAATAGTTCTGAATATTTACAGCTTGTTGTATTACAAAATCTTTTTTTTTTTGCAGGTATCATACAAAGCTCTGTATCAAATTTTTCCTACTTTGGTAGAACCAATTTCCATGCATTTTTTCAACATGAAGATGTTAAAATATGAAATAAACCTCATTAGAGAATATTAAATAACTCTATACTTATCCAAAGTTATTACTATGGATAAGCATAGAATTATATATATTTACATAGAATTTATACATTTATATTACTAGTTTGAGAGATTGTTTTTATCAGTGGATTATTTTTGACAATAGTCTTTGTTACAGACAAATTAATTTAAATATTCCCTTATAAATGGCAGTTTTATTTTAAAATACAAATTGTTTTCACAACACATTTTCAGGCATGGTTGATGATCTTTTCAGTGTAGAAGTCTGCAATAGACATGAGATGCATCTTAAAATTTTGAAAGACTTACAAATTACTTATTCAGTTAAGAAAATCTTTTAGGCATTAATTTTTTACTATGATGAATACAACTTACCTTCAAAATGAGTATATATTTTTTCTTCATGATCACAATTTGCTAGTGAAATTTTAAGATTCTATTCCACACTTCATTGTAAAATTGTGATATAACTAAACATAAATTCTGTTAGCATTTGAATAGTTAGATACTCAGTAATGTTTAAATTAGAAAAATTAAAGCAACAAATGTACAGTGCATCCCAGAAATACTGATGTAACTGGTGAATAACATGTTCATTGTTTGCTAACAGTACACTAAACACTATATGATAATTAGTATTTATAGTGTGATTAGATATTTTTCTAAAATATGAATACAGAAATTACCCAGTCCTCCACACATTTAGAGTACACCTTATCTAATATCACTATTATACCAAGGAAAGTTATGTATATATATATATATATAATATCCAATTACAAGGAATATTATTTTGCAAACTAAAAATATCAAGAGTAAGAAAAACTTTATAAAAGAAAATTATATCCATCCTACAGACAGGTGGGCTAGACTTTTAACAGCAGCTTGAAATCAGTACTACTTCCAAACCAAGTAACATTTCTGAAAAGCATCCTTCTAATACTTAGTTCAATGCTGTAGCTATTGTAGTTATATCAGTAACTGTACATAGATGAACAGATAAAAAAGAAATTATCTACTATAGTAAGATGCTAATGTAGAATATTCTAAAAAACAAAAAAACGATTACCATCCAGCAAAACATTTTGCAATTTTATGTGCAATATATAAATATATTTTTTTTCAAATGGAATAGAAATGTAAAAAAGCTATAGATACCGGACTGTAAAACATTTGTTGGTCCTTTTACACTTTTCACAACATATACATATCTTAAAAGTAACACTACCAGGAAACTTTGTTTAAATATTTTCAGTAGTTTATAAATACAAGACCACCTAAGTTTTGTTACTCTGACATGAGGTCTTAAACTAAAACATCAACAATTACTTTTATTGTGCTTTGAAAAATGCTGCTTATTCAAAAAGTGTATACAATATCTGGTCTTCAAAATGGAAACCTTTCTGCATGTCAAATACAAACGTTACAAATATGCATTTTTTTATGAATTTAATAACAGAAAAAATATTTATTATGATTTAGAACACTAATTATTTAAAAGAACATAATAATATTTTTTTAAACACAAAATAAGATTGCTTGTTCAAATAATTAGTGAATTAATAATGAATACGTTCTACATGTCATAAAATGACTCCTGAAATGGTACCAACAAAAGATGATCAAAAGCTTGAACTAACATCTCTCTATTTTTTATTAATCATGATGTGCACTGAAAAATTATAATGAATATAACTTATAATTAGATTAAAATACTTTTACTCTCAATGTTTTGCTGTATCAGGTTTAAATACTAAAGTTTTCAATTATCAGGATCAGTTTCATTATTAGGAATTAATACATGGTCTTTAATTAGTTTGTTGAATTTTGAAAAACTAGAATCAGGTAAGGTGATGGCTAGCCTCCACAGTACCACAGCCAGCACCACACTTCCAGTGTTTAGCATTCCTAAAAAGAAAGCCATCACTCCATAAGCCATGGCATATCCAACTGCCACTACTGATTGCCATATTATGACAATGATCATGCACAAATGTCGACTCATGTAGTTCCAAAAAGTGCATGGTTCAGCACCACCATTTCGAACATTCAAATAATGTCTGTACAGACAGTTTGACAAGAGCAGTGTGTAGGGCATATAAAAGGTCAACAGCTGAAATGAAGAAAACTGTTGATATACATACTAAATATTAAAAAAATCTGACATACCAGATATCTTATACAAAAATATATTTTGTTTTCATAAATATTATCTCTATCTTTATTATTCTATAATTTTCACACACTACAGTATATATCCAATTTGTCTATAACATGATCAGAAATTTTAACTAAGTGGGAAACTTCCTAAAGATAAATCACACAATAAACAAGTTGCAAGCTAAATTTTGAATTTGACATAAATATAATTAAAGATACAAATACATATTGCATCATTAAAATAGCACTGTAAATCAGTCAAAAAATGAAACACATTATTATTAACATTACTGTTGCTTAGAGATATATATATTAGAAACCATTATTAACTATACTTTCTAACATTGCAATGATATCAATATGACAAGGCAATTTATACAAACCATTGTTTGACAAAAATATTGTGTGTATGTGTGCATGTCTGTTGAGCTGATTGTCACCCCATCTAACATGTACCTTTAGCCCCCCCTTCATATCTGGCCCCCTGTGCCACTCCCATGTCTCCCTAATGCATTGTGTCTGCTTATAATTGGCAAATCACAAGACTGATTGTTACAAAACTGTCATGAACCCTTAGGGAGTTAATGGCAGTTGGATTTGATCCTCCCCACATTTTCCCCTAACAATCCCTATGTCTTCCCCAAGCAATGAATGGGTATCTCCGCTAGTTTATTTTAAAGGAGCATAAGCTCTTTTTTAAAGGGTCCTTTTAGGTGGTGTTAGGGATGTTGAGATTTCTCTCAGAATTTCTTCTGTATGGTGTTTAAACACTACTGACAAAATTTTTAAAACCTTAGACTGAATTTCTTTAGTTTTCAGAAAGATCTGAAGAAAGATAAGCTAAATTTATAAACACTTAAAAACTTGTCAACAATTATTACACATTAATTAATGCATATTCTTTTTTTCTATTATAGCTTCAACAATTAATAAACTTAATTCAACTGTTGTTACTATAATTCAGTCATTGTATAGTTTCAGACATAAAACATCTGGAAGGAAACGCTCTATAGAAACAAAAATACCGGGTGCAATTTGTTACTGTTAAAAATAAACTGAGTTAATTTGGAAAAACTTTATTTTAAACTTCTCAATTAATATCTTTACATTTATCATATTCTAGCATATTTTAGTGTTAAATAAATTAAGAACTTTTCATGTAGTTTATGTTGTGTCATGATATTCTTTATACTACAACAAAGATAGACATATCAACAATGAAAATTATTGTAATTTTATGTTAACATTTTGTAGGAAAAAACACATTAACTTTAAACAGTGTTCTGCAAATAAATACACATCAGATTAAAATTTGGGCTATTTAGTTAACAAATTTAAAAGTATATTTTCAAAAGTGCAGTGACAAATTGTACTTATTGACAAATGCAAACAAGTCTAAATAGTAGATTTTCTTTCTTATATGTAAACATGAAAAAACCTTCCACAAAATACAAGATTTTTTCTATGTAGCAAAGGTAATAACCTAAGAACTATATTACAGGAGCATACATCATAATTAAAAGTTAATATTATCATGGTGCAAGAAAAGAATACAGAAACTGAAGTAAAAATATAATAAACTAAGTAGGTGAACTAACAATACTAGATCCTAGAGAAGACTTTTTCTCTAATTTTTCCCACAACTGCATTTGATTTTTAAAATAATATACAATAAAAACTGAGAATTATGAGTTAATTGATGTTATGTTTCCTTTTCAGAGATATATATTCTGAAACTTGCCAATAACAGTTTGCAAAACTTGTACGCAAATGGCAAAACAGTTCAGAATTTTTCTAGGTCTATGATAAGAATCATATGAAAAAGGAATAAATCAGTAAAATATGCTAGAACATGATAACTCTAAAGATATTAACTGATGAGTTTAAAATAAAGTTTCCCCAAACTAACTCAATTGTATAGGTGTGAATTGCATTTATTTTAATCTAAACTCTGATATAAAGTAACTACAAAATGTATTTAATTAGTAAATATTATTTTATGATTTTAAAATTAAATCTTTAACAAATAATGATAAGTTCAGATGTAACTTATAGCACTATATTACTTTGCTTATATACTTAATGAAATCCAAAAGTTGAGTAGCTTCAAAGAAGTTGAATCTTGATTACTTACATACAGGCTCCCTACATAAAATGTTGTAGCTCCAGGTAGAAATACTCCTTCCACAAATATACCCCATACAAAACATACACCAACATAGCCATCAATGATTTCTCCCAAAAACCATGGTCCTGCAAATAGAATTATGAGCCATAAATAAAATTTATCAATTTGCAATAATCAGGAATCAGAAATTTTAATGAAACTTTATCATCTCATGGAACACATTTAACCACTAATGACTTCATACTACCATTTTTGCACAAGAGCAAACAATTAAACAAATTTTAAGATTTTTTCCAATGTACAGAATATTTAGAATTATGTGATCAGTTTTCAACTTTCCATACCTGCTACTGCCTTAGAAACTGAGTTGCCAAATAAAATACTTAAATCATACACCAAAATTTAAGTAACAGGTAAAAGCCTCTGTGTTCAAATACTTGGTCAAAAAAGCAAGATAGATGTTAGGAGCATCATTATCAAATATTGCTTAGTTAATGAAATGATCGAAAACATAATCACCAAAATCTATACAATAAGATTGTTAAGAGATCTGATATTGTCAATGTGTCATTTTTCTCCATAAATAATGGAGAGAATGGTAGGACTAGTGGACATGAATATAAATTTTGGGAGGGTATGAGTCACCTTCAGCTAAGACAGTTTTACTGAGTGTTTAGATAATACATATAGTTTAGTGGATGGGACAGCCTAGATAAACCAACATGTCCCTTGTTGTCCTTAAATATTATGTTACCCTATGATAAGTTAAAGCTGTTATCATATGGAAAGTTAGCCTCCCTCAATATCAAGTTTAAGTCCTAACAGTCCCAGTGATAGCTATTTGACCACCTAAGCAATCTTTCATTCTGTAACTTCCCCTTATTTCAATTTTACTTCCAATTGTGCAGAAGAAATACACGTGTAATAATGTTTATTTATTTATACTTTATTAAAGCCTAAGAGAATATTATAGTAATTATGTTTCTCATCCTTGGTTAAAAATAATTTTCTAGGACCTTTCAGCTATTTTCATGACACTTTATAGACTTGTATCACCCCTCATATCTATCCCACTCTTATGCCTTTTCAGTTTTTAAATTTTATTAAATGAACCACATTTTAATTAAGATAGTTGTTCAATAAAACAATTAATTGTTATTCAGTTAGACAATGCATTTTATAAAGTAATAGTTTTCCATGTCTTTTCTAGGAACATTTATGGTTATCTCCATTTTCCATGATATTTTCAGACATGGGAATTAATTTTGAAAATTTTCAGGTTTTCCAGGATGTATGGGAACTGCACACTACTTGCTTCAAGTCCACTTTTTTATGAAATTTTATGCATGATCAAAATTGGTGCCAATCAAACCAATTCTGTTTGTGTAAGGGTTAATCTCAGATAGGTTTTAATCAAATATGAGTTTGGAGAATCTAATTTTTTTTCTTTACTAGCAATGATGATGGACAAAGTCAGCAAAATTCCAGTGCATCAAGTATTGGGAAACAAATATGATAATCCATTCTTGCATAAGTGTTCCAATACACTTTTTTTAAGAGTCATTTTAGTTACTCTCACTGAGAGAGCTACAATTGGTTACACAATTCTGTTAGACTGACATAAGTAGCCTTGCTATCTAATAAGATTATATGTTCCATACAATATTTTAGCAAGTCTGTTGAGCTCATTTATGGCTAGTCAGCAATAGAAAGAAACTGAACAATGAACTGTTTCTGCAGCACAATCTGACAGCAGTCAACATGAGTCAGACTGATTCTTGTTGGATAACAACTGAATCAACTCATTCTAGATGTATATCTCCAAACACTGCCTATGGATTTCTTGTTTGGTAATTCTTTTAAGGTGTCCTTTCATGACAGGCTCAAACATAACTGAACAACCAAAAACTTCCATTTCAAGATGAAAAAGAGCAAAAGTTTCAGTTTTATGAACTTTTTATCAAGACAATAAAGCTTTTATTACAGCTTGTTATTGCTCCATCTTTAGTTTTACCACATTTTTTATATTGAACATTTGGTTCATTTTAATTCAAGATTTTAATTCTTTTACTGTTAAAATTCTTTCAGATAATCTGCTGATTTTCAAGTCCTTTGTCCAATTTTATAACAGTGAAAAGTTCACTGTGCCATAAATCGTGCTGCAATAACAAAACACTGAATTATACATGACTGAATATTGAACCCACCATCTTCATTCTTCTTCACTGAGCAGTTATTGCATGTAATAAGTTTTTGTGAATTTACTTCTCTTGCTTCTATGGGAAAGTCATTCTTCTGCAGTTGTACTGGATTAATTCCGACCAACAACTGTCTCATTTTTGAATCAATTGTTTGCTGTTCAGCTTGAATACCCCCCCCCCCAAAAAAAACGACATATTTTCACTGTCCTTTTCCTCTTTAGAACTGTTTTTGACATGAAAAGTTGTGGTTTCTTAAATTTACGAGACAGCACAGCAAAATATTATAACTTTAGTATTGTTACTAGTTTTCATTGCATGTAGCAAAAGTGCTCAAACAGAGGAAGATAAGAAGAGTGGTGATATTATGTATTTACAATGACCTTGACAGATATAGTCATCTGCAAAATTATCATTATTTTGCAGACACAAGACATCAGATGGCCAATAAGTATAGTGAGGTTGGAGCTCGTTCAGACTGTACCATGGGTGCACACCTCCTCAACCATCAGTCTATACAGGTCAAAACCAGGTGTGAGAGAAGGGCACTTGTGATAAGTATCCATGCACAGCTCCTCTACTGTCAGACACTATGGGACCCTCACCAGTTGTGGGAAGAAGGCACCGTGTAGACATATTGGTTTATTGGACACAATTAGTAAGGATACTTACAGAACCACTACTCAACCAGACACTATGGGCCTCTTGCCTGCCGTGGGAGCAGGGTGTGCATACGATACCTCACAGTTGGATATGAAACAATACTATCTATTATGCCATCAAATACAGAGGGTTCAGGCCACTGAGGGAGTTGGAAGTATAATAAAAACAGATAAATATATCAGTGTGAGATAGTGGTATGTGACTTAATTCCACTTTGAGATTGTGATGTATTCATATGCAGTTGGGTGATCCACACTACATTCTGGGGAAATACCCCTGCCCAGAACACCATTGAGGGACCAATGTTTTAGCCCCAGCACTTAAATCCCAATCAGTGAGGATTTTCTATGGTTCACCACCCCAGAAACTGGGAGCTGGTAAGTGGCAAAGGTATCCTGTGCTCCACTCGAAGGGGGGAATTCACATAGAGACCCGAAGAATGTGTCCAGATCTCCATCGTGTGCTTAACAGAAAGGTCTTTTACTGCAGACAGTGCAATGA